TGTGTGTGTGTTTGTTCTCGCTTTTTAAGGCGATAATTGTTCTAATCAATACAGATTGTTTGACGTATGAATATTCACACAAATACGATTTAAACATTGCATTCTTTAAGACTGCATTCAAGTAAATGCCGTGTGAAATGAAAAAAGAAGTTTCACTTTTACTCATTTTTTACGAACTACGCACTTTCTAATTAGGCTTTGAATTGTTTATGCTTTGCATAATTATGTATAGAAGTAATTAAAAATGTTACATAACAAAATAACGTTAGATTCTCGACATGCGTCTCCTAATGACGAAAATGTCATGATTTCCATCCTTTTGGGAATTTTACTAGAATTGCCATGTGAAATTAATGTTTTTAAAAGCTCTGATAAATTTTAAGGAATGAAAAAGGTAAAGAATACGAAGAGTAATCGATCTAAAAAAAATAGAAACAATACAAATATGTAAACAGTGAAACACTAACTTCCGGAAATTTCCAGGCCTAGGAGGAGTAAGCGTCCCCTGTTGTGGTGTAAAAATGAGCGTTACCCTCCATGATCCGGATACGAATGTTTGTACCCTTTTGATTTATGGTTGATATGGGAACTTGTTAATTGTTATATTCCTGCCATACTTAAGGCTCTAGAAAGAGGGAATATGAACAAGCGTTTGAATATTATTGAGAGGTGTGATTTATGATCATTTATGATAATATCAGAGTTAATAATAGACTCTACCAAAAAAAAAAATGCGACATATTGTAAATTTTGAATTTACAGGTACATGTACTAATGAGTACAATATTTGCACGATTGCAAAATTTAATTTTATATGTTGATTAAATTGGAATGAGAGATACATGTAAATAGAATAAAGTTAATTTTACATGTATTCATAATTATAAAATTTTACTCCTACAATGTAATGATATAGAATTCATGGAAATCTGTTTGCTGTCTTGCAGATACTTTAATCTTCTTTACTGAAAAAAAGTATCTCAAATCTGCCATATACAAAATAACTTTGTAAAACTACTCTCCAGTTGATGTTGTTCATGAGAAGAAGAAAATTGTTGCTATGGCCATCATTTCGACATTCAGATATGACGACATTTAATCAAGTAACAATATTTACTTTCGTTCAGATGTCAACTTTATAAATTCCAGTGATCTCGAAATAAAACACAACAGAGTCTACCCATTTCATATTTGGATGTTTACTGACTATAGACGATAATGGTCAACTAATAACTAAACTGTATGACAAAGGGAGGACCTCGGTTTTTCTATCCTCAACTTCTCTCATTCAAATACCTAGTAATATTTCCACATCACCGGAAAAGTTTGTCCCAACTGATTCGATACACAATAGCATGCTCCGAGTACGATCAATTTTTGAACCGAAGCAAGCTAATGACGAGTTAATGTTACAAGAACTTTAGCAGCCCCGTTTAATGTCAGCTTTTCGAATATTTTACAGTATCGTATTTTGTCTGTCATGTTTTATACCATTTGTTCAGACATTGTTTTATACTAAATTGGACTTTCGGGTGCTCAGTTTGCCTGGTCGATGCATGTGGCTTACGGCGGCTGTGGCCAGTCGACGGTGGATGCTTGCTCCTCTTAAACACCTGATCCCATGTCTGGTGTTTTCAGGGGTCTATTTTTTCCTGTTCACGATTTGTTGTTTACTGGATGTGTGAGATTGATCACTGTTCATTATCTTCCCTTTTTACATATACATGTATAATAGTCATTTTGTTCAAATTAGAAAAAAAATTAAATATGTGCTTCAAAATTTTCTTCCATTTTTTTTTTTTTTTTTTTTTTTTGTAAAAGTAATGAAAGAGTATTTGTTATATACAAAAAATATTCCCCTTTCTTTGGCACACATTTTATCAAGATTTAGAGAGCTTCCTACTCATGAATTATTTCTCCATCTGATCCACCCTGTCAAATGAATGTGCTCCATTTTTTTTTTTTAATTAAACCGACCGCTTTCCTATTTTCTTATAATAATACTAAATGTTCATCCATCAAACAAATACTCAATCAATGTATCCACATAAGCAAAGGCATTTTACGCAACTATACGATACCAATTATTTCAATATGAAGTTAATTTATGATTCTAAATCTGTTGTATGTTAGAAACTAAGAGCAACAAGTCCTACAATAGATATAATTGTATTTTAAGTATCAACAATGAACCAAAAATTGAGACATAACATTACCTATGTCTCAAAACAGTAACTTCTTTATCTCGTTATTAGTAATCAATATATTGCAGAATCTAAAATCGAACACATCGGTGATTGATTTGCATTTTGTGAAGAATATTTACAAAATTACCAAGAAAATTAATTGACATATATCGGTGTTAGAGAGATAAATACGTATCTTGGATAACGGATGTATTTAATATAAAGCTTGATTGAAAAAGTGTAAATATTGATTTGCTCGTCTAACTTGAAAAGTATTTAACAAAAGTATTACAGCTCACCACAAAACCGATATCATTTGCGTTTTAGTAAAACTTTTGGAATTGTACCTCAAAACAACAAAAGTACATGGAATCTTTTAATTAACTTTCAAAGGAAATAAATCATTGTTAATTATATACCTTTCCCAATGACACTTAAGAAATGAAATCTGTCTGCTTCATGATGTATATCGTTATGGCAGAAGTGTAAAGTTTTGAGGTCATAAATCCAGAACACTAGAATACTGATATCTGTTGCACAAATTTTTCAGTGTCAAACTCATTTTGAACAATAATGCCCTTCATATGACTTGTTTTGTCTTCACTGATTTTCTTAAACATGTTATGAGACATACAGAAATCATTCATGTTAATTGTCACAATCTGAATTCATGACAATATAGAGACCATAATGCTCTTTCTGTGAAACATTTCATTTTCACTGAAATGTCCATTGTATATATAAAGTGACACGTATCAAAGTTCATAAATGGAAAACACTGCTAAAACACTAATACTATCTGTTGTATTGACATAGGGTTCACAAAAGAATTTCAGAGGATATCCGATATTTCGACAAAAAGAAAAAAAGAATGGGGAAAGAAATGCAATTTGGATTCATTACAAATTTTGCCAAACATGATTACAATAAAATAAAGATTTCATCTGGTTTTTGTAAAATCTTTGCAAAATATGTTTTTATTGAGAGAGCGTAGACCCGATATGAAACTTTACTATGCATCTCCTATGACTTTGTTCATAAAGGAAAGATTTTATCCTTTTTTCGGAGAGATTTGTTGAATTTACATTACACATAATCCATTTCTACATTAACATTAATATCTTTTTATTGAATTTAATTCTTTACAATTAAAAGTCATATATATATATATATATATATATATATATATGGGCTACCTATATGTTATTGAATAGATGGCAGTGTCCATGTTTTGTCAATGTTTTGCTATAGGAAACTCCAAATATCTGTCCTTTCGAAAAATAAAATAAGAGGTAACAATGGCACTATGTAATAAAGATTCTCTGAAAATCTGATTCAATAGTATAGGAGGAGTTGCAGATAAGAGATGGATACCCCTTAGTGTTACGGAAGGACGGACACCCCAATCACTTTAAACCTTCTCCGCTTTAAGATGGGGGGGGGGGGGGGTATAGAAACGTATGCCCTTTAAGAGCATTCTTATCAATATTCCTTGTGTTTTTGTATTAAATGATGAACTTCTGATGGATTTTTGAGAAACCTGTTTGGAGGACTGAAATATTGTTTGAAAACTGACCCCAGTCCAGTAACTAAAAATCTGATATAGATCGAAACATAAGAATCTCAAATTTAATGCTAAAAAATTCCTACTTCCTTATTCTATTTATGTATTTTTTTTGTTTTTTATTATTAATTTGAGGAAATTGTGCAGTCATGAAATGCATTTAATCGTCGCATGTGGAAATTTATAGTAGCAATTAGCAAAACATAGTTAATGTTCATAAATTTCGGAGAAGCAAAAAATATGAGGAAAAGCATACTGGGAGACCAAAACTTAAAGCCAATATATTATTATGTAAATTTAAATTCATTATCTACATGTACCTTCACGCGATCGATACCATTTTTCAACGATCTTATAATTTGAATGTGATCTCCTTTATCATTTCTATACCTAAGTCGACTTAAATTAAAGGAAGTAAGGATTCGAAAACTATTGGGTTTAAAACTTTGTTTAAATCACAACACTGCTAGTGTTTTATTCCCTGAAAAAAAATCTGAGGATAAATTAATTAGAATATTTTTTTTCTATGAAATTACACTAATTCTTTTTTTAATTTAAGTCTGATTACTTTTTTCTACGTGTATTGGCATAAATTTCTTGAACTTACAAGTAAAACGACCATTTCCTATATTAATACAATGTAAATTTACAGAATGAAATCTAGTTATTAGCTAGAGTAGAGCAACAGAGGAATCGTATAACGGTATGCATTATACAAATGTTTGTGGTGATAAGAATCAACAAGATGACAATCAGAAGGAAAAGTCCAAACCACTGTAGTAATATTTGTATCCTACTTAGGAAACAATAAAATGATCTATGATTTGATGGTGGAAATACAGAATAAATTAGCACAAAATTAATTCATCACTTTACCGAAAAAAACCTGTTTATAATACATGTTGATGTTATTAACGTAACGTATAATAGTGATGTTCCGGTGAATAAACAAAAAAAATATTTACTTTTTGTCCAAAGAAACGTAAGATTCGTCAGATCATGGCAAGTAGGAAAACGTATTCAATATTTTGTCAATCAAGTAAGGTCACAGTGAGACGATCTCATCCAATCACGCTTCGCTTATTCCCAGTGCAACACATGGGAGGGGTGTGCGCAATATTAATAAACCTTGACAAACCACGTGTCTCTTCTAGTACAATATATTATACCGTTCCCTCTCGAAAACTTCATTCAACCTTTAGAAAGGTAACAAACAAGACAGAAATATAATACGGACCTAGAAGATTTTGTTTGTTTCATTCATAAATGATTCTCACTTTTCTCAATCTTTCATTATATTATACAGGCATTAGCTATGATGGGTAAAGACTTTGAAAACGACACCTCAAAACAGAGACGATCTGGTGTTCAGTGTCTCGAGCTTGAAAGCAGCTTTTTGGACATAAATTCTGATGCAGATGACGATGTTTTTAGTGACGAAGAAGTGGTTTCTAATCATTCCAATGTGGCTGAGCGCTTGGGTATCCTTCATGCAATCTACCAGAATGACTATCGAACCTTTGTGGACCTCCTTGACTCTGGATTTGATCCTAATATGTGTGATTGTGATGGTAACCCCCTTTTACACATCGTTATTGAGAATGGAAACAACGAAATGATGGACTACTTGCTTCAAGATGGTAAGTGAGAGAGTCACCGAGTTTATTCTGTAAAATTACAATCCTTCTTTCAATTGCCCGCGTGGGTGGTAAGAGCGTTTGTTCTTAGTCTCGGAGTAAGAAGTTGATCCTTATCTTGTCGGTTTGAATTCCACTGTGGAGACCGGTCTTTCAGATGAGACTATAAAAACCGAGGTCGCGTGCCGCAGTAGGTGGTGGCAAGAAAAGGATCCCTCATTGCTCAAATGCCGTAAGTGCCGAGTGCAGCTTTCTATCGGCAAGTGGTGGCGTGTCAATATGACTGAAAAACTCTCAAAGGGACGTTAAATAGACAAATCCTTCAATTGCCGGAATATATATATGTGTATATCATGTTCTACGGAGGGGAGTTAAAGATTTGTTAATATTTTCATTAAAGAAAATTAAACAGGATGCTCATATAATTCATATAGTGTATCGTAATATAGTAGTAAATATCTTTATAATGTTATTCAGATTATTTTTACGCTTAAGAAATTTCCTAGATGATGTGCGACGCGACATAGTGAGTAATTATGTTTCGTGCTTTTGTTATGTTAATTAGGTTTTAATACAGTGGTAATCATAAATTGCGTAAGGTTTAGTAATAAACATTACATTAAAATTCAAGCATTTTACGTAATATTCCGTAATAAGCACTTACGCTAGCAAGCTGAAGATATTAAGTCATTCATGATAAACATATTTAGTACTGAACGGGAATGAACCATTTTACGTTAAATTTATTTTTACAAAAACAAGATGACATTTTTTCTTTTCCCCCAGAGGGCAGATATTTACAAACTCTATTTGTAACAATGATGAAACATATATAACATTATTAATCGAGTAATGGGGGCCAGACAAATGTTTATAACGTCATAGTGACAGAGTGGAGATAGAATATAATCAGATTTAATTCTCAGCTATCTTTCAGTCTGGTTAGGAATGTTGACAATCTTGTTTACAAGACAGTGGAATTCTGCAGTTAAATAAGACAAATAGCTGACACACTAATCTACTTGTTTTTACATCTGTATGATTTCTAAAATGCCTTCCTAGTGCAATACAATAATCTAATGTCTCTAAACAATTTTCCTGAGATTCCTTTAGACTTACTAGCCCGTCATTTAACTTGAAAATTAATAATTATTCATAGATTTATCGTATGTCTCCCTTCCTTCTTTTCATAGAAGTTTCAGGACAAAACTGACCGCAAACAATAAAATCCGTTTTTATGTATTGTAAGGAAAAGGAATGGAAGAAAAACATATACATGTACATATATATTGGTAAACACGGTCGTTAACATTATTTTCTATGACACACCCCCAACGTTATGGTCAAGGAATTTGCTTGTTGTCCATTAATCGGTCATCCATAGAATGTAAACACAACCTGTTTATTCATCAGGCGTCAATAATAGCCGATCAATGTTACACTAATAAGAAAACATGCTAAATGATGACATAATTAATATACTCTTTCTTTGCATCTATTTTTAGAACATTGCGATGTAAATCGTGAAAATAAATTCCAACAGACACCATTGATCATCGCTGTGATCATGGATGATTACCATATGGTTAAAACCTTGGTGAAAGCAGGTAAAACCAATAATACAGTATTTTCACTTGAAGGCAATTTATTAGTTTGGTTCTATTTTGGTATAAGGATATTAAAGTTGAATGTTTTTAATTCTAGGAGCTGATGTGAACAAAACAGATTCAACAGGAAAAACGGCCCTTTTAATATCTCTCCAAGATTCAAGGACGGATATCAGCCAGTATCTGATTAAACACGGAAGTGACGTCAATGTGGTGGACCGTTTGGGTCAGAGCGCATTGTTTATCATCATTGAAAGCATGGACCTCAAATGTGTGAAAACTGTGAAGAAATTGTTAAAAGCAGGTAAGGTACATGTGAATATTAGAAAAAAAGAGGCAACTTAATAAAGGTGTATTACTTTTAAAAAATTTTGTCTTGTAAATATCTATCAAAATCTAATCAAATTTCTTCAAAGAACGTTCATTATCTTTCAGGATACGATCTCCAGAAAGATACAACGTGGATGAAAGAAGAGGGTCTTGATGTCGACATTGTGAAAAGTGGAAATTGGGTTTCAAAACTTGCTAGAAAACTTGCAAACAGACTTCATACAATGAAATCGAATCAACTTTCGTCTGCTACATCACGCTCAGACTGTTCTTCGAAAAAGCCACGGGTCTTGACGATTTATCAATAAATCACTGATATGAAACTCATTATAGAACACAATATAAGTGATTTATTAGTTAAAGACTGGTGACAAAGATATGGAGATAGAAAGAATCATTTGAATAAACTGCTTCACGGAAAAGAATCGCCTTTAGATTTCGAGGAAGACAATTTTATTATATGCTTCATTTGTATGATAACTACATGTATGTCATACTGTCTTAAGTTGTCAACACCACTGTCTAGTTTATCACTGAAGTTGTCACGTTATATACCTTCGTCCACTTACATATCAAACTTTAAGTGCTTTTTTTATAAATCATTTATACGTTGTGAAATCCTGTTTTTATATTTTTGTAATGTTTTATTTTAATAATAAATGGTTATAAACCTTGTGTTCTGTTTTAGTTATGATTTCAACAAATCTCATCAAATGGACGACAGGATGAATGAAAATGTAAGTTTATCCTATAAATGAATTAATAGTAAAAGGCGACATCTGAATCAATGAGTATTGAATCATAATTTAAAGATATACGATGTTACATGTACATGCTTATATACTCACAAACCCTGATATATATATAAATATATATATATATATATATATATATATATATATATATATATATATATATATATAATTTATATATATATATATATATATATATATATATATATATATATATATATATATATAAGCATTGAATCATTTTTTTTGAAAGATATAGTCTCATATACCTGAAACGGTGAGAGAAAACAAATTGATCAAACAATAGGTCTGATTTTTGTAACCATGGTAATATTTTTATCAAATAGAAGTACTCCACCAAAGGGATCTACAAAATTTTATTATTAGCTCACCTGAGCCAAAGGCTCAGGTGAGCTTTTCTGATCAAAATTTGTCCGTTGTCTGTCGTTGTCAACTTTTCACAATTTCATCTTCTTCTCCAGAATCATTGGCCAATTTCAACCAAACTCGCCATAAAGCATCCTTGGTTGAAGGGAATTCTAGTTTCTTCAAATAAAGGGCCACGCCCTCATTCAAGGGGAGATAATTCAGAAATAGTGAAAATTTGGTGGCATTTTTCAAAAATCTTCTTCTAAGGAACCATTGGGCCATAAAAGTTGAAACTTATGTGAAACATTCTTTACATAGTGTAGATTCAAGTTTGTTCAAATGATGACCCCGGGGGTAGAGTGGGGCCACAATGGATATCAAAGTTTTTCATAAGAATATAGAGGGGAAAATCATCTTCTCAAGAATAGAAAAGCCATGTTTAGTCATATTGATATGGAAGCATCCTCAAGTAGAGTAGATTCAGATTTGTTCAAATCATGACCCCTGGGAGTTGGGTGGGGCCACAATAGGGATCAAAGTTTTACATAGGAATATATAGGGGAAAAAATTGTAAAAACTTTTCTTCTCAAGAATAGCAAACGCATGATTAGTCATTGTGATATGGAAGCATTCCGGGTAATAACAAGGCTGATAGTTCTGCAAAAAACTGCTCTTCAATATGAAATTGTACCTTTTAAAATTCGTTACACTGACCTTAAGTACTTAGTGAAACTTTACATAAATTCTCTTTGGCAAATATTTTGGGATTTTAGTGATAATAATAAACTGTATACCACACAAAACAAAGTTGATCAATAATCTGACTTTGGCCTGAAACGTCAGGACGAAGTCATTATTTCAAGAATAAGAATTGGGCATTCCAGGTTTACCCATTCATATTTACTGAGCGGGGAACAACAACCTGAATGCATATCTTGTGACTGTGCAATAACTATTAACCATATACTGTTAGAATGTTCTGATTTTACGCCTGTTCGAAATAAACTTTTTAATGGTGTTCAAACAATGCATGATCTTTTTACAAATGTAAGTCCTAGTACAATTTTACAATACTTGCAAGAAAATGATTTTTACAATAAGATATAAATGTATATATTTTTATTGGCATATTTGTAATTTTCAATTTAACTGTTTTTATTTTTAAATTTAAAGTCCGGCGGATGGGACGTAAAACGGTGCCCCGTGTAAAGGATTACAACCCTCTTGGCACGCTAAAGATCGTTTCTCTGGTTTTCGAAAAAGAGAAGGCTCATTGGGGGCCGCCAGAGAAACCCAAAAACTTTCAAAACCGTTTATACAGTATTTAAATTTATACCGCCGAAATATGGCTGAAATATTGCCGACTCGGCGTAAAACAATAATGAATCAATCAATCAATCATGGAAGCATCCTCAGGTAATATAGATTCAAATTTGTTCAAATCATGACCCCCTGAGGGTAGGGGGGGGCACAATGGGGGATCAAAATTTTACATAGGAATATGTAGGAAAAAATCTTCTCAAGAACAGAAAGGCCATTTTTAGTCATATTGATATGGAAGCATCCTGAAGTAGAGTAGATTCAGATTTGTTCAAATCATGACCTACGGGGGTAGGATAGGGCCACAGAGTTTTACATAGGAATATGTAGGAAAAAATCTTTTCAAAAACAGAAAAGCCATGTTTAGTCATATTGATATGGAAGCATTCTCAGGTAGTGTAGATTCAAGTTTGTTCAAGTCATGACACTCCGGGGAAGGAAGGGGCCACAATTGGGGATCAAATTTTTATGAAGGAATATATAGGAAAGTCTTTAAATATCTTTTGTTCAAGAACAGCAAAGCCATTTATTATATTGAAAGTTTAAAATTCGAAGCCCCCCCTCTCATAAACCTTTCAATACTGAACTGATTTGTGCTTTTTCCTAGCCAGTGTGCTCGGGTGAGCAATGTGGCCCATGGTCTTCTTGTTATTATTGTCCAAATAATTGCACCTTAAATTTTACACTGAAGTATATAGGCAGCTCATGTTTTATAATGACTGTGTAAAAAGTAATTTGAACTTTATACAAATCTCTGCATACATGTATGTGAAAGTATGAATAAACTCTTCTCGTTATTTAAATATGAAATAAAATGAATCATCAACCAGAGATATTTTGACAATATTAATTTTTTTTCTTTTTATCAAAGCAGGGGTTGAAATTTTTCTGGAAAACACACTAGGGGCTAGTGTGTTTTCTAGGAGCTACTGATCAGTACAAAATTATAAGCCCTAACCTCAAACTAACTAGCCCAAATATTTTTTATGCAGAATGAAAACATAACAATTTAAAGTTTAAAACGCTTTGGTGACAAAAAAAATTGAATTAGTTTTTAGTCAAAACAGTCTACATAGAAAAGTGAAAGTAAACTGACGAGAATTTTTTTTCAGTTCAGCTAGTCCGACGTTACATTTAAATCAGCTAGCCCGAGAATTAAAATGACTAGCCCTTGCATCGGGCTACTGTATATTTTAATCCCTGTATCAAGGGCAGGCAACTCTTGAAAAATGTGTAAGTTGCAAATATGTTATGAGTCGTGAATTTGGTTCATTTCACTTTCATCATTATATAGCAATACATATTTAACTAGTTTAAAATGATTCAAAATTGTTCCATATTCCTTCATTGTACATTGAATTCCTTAAATGATACATTCTGTTTGCTGACAAGTCATTGTATCACCCATAGAACTTGCAAAATGATGACTTTAAACGAGACTGTTGATATCCTTGTTTAAGAAATCGTTCGTACGTGGAGCATGCTCTTGCGTATTGAATCAACTAAGACATAAACCCCATAAGTAGGTGGCATAAGTAAGAGAAGTTGACGATTGAAAAGTTGAAGGCATCACGTTTATCATAAAGCTTGGTTGTTAGGCTTCCACTAACGTCTTTTTCAGTAAAATATCCAAATATTAAACAGAGTTTCAGACTCTTTGGTATCTTTAATTTCATGTTCACTGGGATATTTCGAGTCGACATATGAATGGAAGTAACTTTTGCTAATTGATAATATGTCGTCGATATATCTAAATGTCAAGTTGAAGGCCACAGCAAGTACTTTCTTCTCATGTTTAAGATTTTGAATAAATTTTGCTTCATACAAAAATAGGTCTGCTAATAACGGGGCACAATTCGTACCCACTGCTAATAACGGAGCGCAATTGGTACCTATGGAAATTCTGACAGATTATTGGAAGACCTGGTCTCCAAAAACTACATAGATATTGTGAATCAGAAACTCAACCATCTTTTTAATGTCAACTTCAGAGTACTTGTGTGTACAATCAGAATGTTTTTGAACAAAATAAAGCTGCAAATTACCAATGACTAGGTAAGTTTTATGAGTTCCATTCTTATTGAAAAAGCAGCTATCAATGATGTCAAAAAGCCTGGACACAAATGATAGATAAACAACAGTGAAAGATATAGTGAAATAAAGAAGAAGAACAGAAATCTACCTTTACTTTTGATATCCCACTTTCCCTTTACCGGTATACATTGATTTACTCCATTGTAAAGGGTCAAGGAGAAAAGGGGGAACATTTCTTTAAAAACAAGTTTTTTCCCCTTAAGGACATTCTCAATGAACGTTCACGAAACATTCTTTGGATGCTTCACATTTCATCTACTAATAAAAATTAAACAAAAGAGTTTCACTATTCGTTTTTCTTTCCCCATATTTTGCTACTTTAACACGTTTTACTCGGTGGTACATTTACTCTACATTTCTAGAGGATGACATTAAAAGAAAAAAAAACCTCAGCACCTATATAAGGACACTGACTCACTTTGTTTTAATACTGTTATTCTAGATCCTTGACTCTTCCTCATAATTTTCTTTTGCTTTGATTTGGATAAAAAGGTATGGGTATAACTCTACATACTCTTAATTTCATCTGATCTGATTTATTAAATCGGGAAAGGCGTTATGAATGCTGTGTTCAGTACAACTTGTTCTCATACAATGGTCCGAACAAGTTTTTTCCAAGCATACGTAATTACTTTGAACTTGCCTTTACTTAAAAAAAATGATTTTAATCCTCATGATGACAACTGTCAACCAGTTATTTAAGTTAACCTTTGGTATAAAAAATATCCTACATGATTCCCGCTCTCAAAACTAGGACAAAATTTAATTCTTATACATGTTTTGGACTCCATTTTGTCTATAAAATCTTGATTTCGAACAATAAAACGCTATGTGGTCATCACTGTATCTTACATACATAACCAGTCTTTATGCAATGTATGACCAAATATTTTTTCATACATCCATGATATACTTATACCTCTACTAGTGCATTATGATACTGAATACTGTAATACAATGCAAGCTGTTGTGAAAGGGGCTTTTCCTGTTAACCTTTATGTACTTTCCATTACTAAGGGACATACATGTATTAGAATGACACATGTGTTATTCTGACTAAAAGTTCTCGACCTTTAACTTGTTAACGTGCTGCTGTCCTGTATTCTCAGTTGAATGAATGGTCCTTCACTGTCCCTTTCA